CCCCAACTGAATGATTTAAATGTGAAAAGGAAGGACTTAAAAGTAGGATATGTCTACTTTAACATGCTTTTCTCATGCATCAACATCCCACTCGCTTACAAGATAAACAAAGTTTCTGAATAAATTAAACTATGCTTCACTTATACTGACAAACCAAATTAACAAGATATAAGTGCTTGTTACTGGAAATGACATTATCTGTGAAACATATGGTGACAAGTGACATATATACAGTCCCAGAGAGACAAATAGTCCTCAGTGGATTATAATTGAGTGTTATAAATAATGACAGACTGATGATGATGTGTTATTTTCTGGACTCTTCGTGTTTCAGTCAATTGTCAGGCGCTGTRTGTTTCTGTCTGCTGAGTCACCGCAGCAAAAATGATAAAGTCCCATAATTACTGCCACCTCCAGCCCAACTGAGTAACAAACAAGGCCTTTCATTTGTGTTCATTCTGCTTTGTGATAAAAAGGAAAATTATTTCTAATTAAACTAAAAGAATGAAATAAAAACAAACCATAATAATTAGCATTTGCACTTCAATAGAATTTTCTTTTACTTTCAAAAATGCGAACTTGCCTTTTTCAATTTTGGATTTAGACGTCATTTATTAACACAAATCCTGTTGAGGCAATATTCTGGTTTAATAATGGGATGGTGTCCAAACATTTGTCTTTTTATGAATATTTAAAAGTTTTAGCTTTTAAAAGGAGCTTAGATTTACTCAGCATGCAAGAGAGCTGCTATCCCTGAACTTCCATTCAACCTCACTGTACAATTAAAGAAGATTTAGAGGAAGGAAATAGAATATTTAATATAAAAAACATTACAGCTTTAATAAATGATCAGTTATTACTGCTGGTGCAGCAATAATAACACATGATTACACCTTCACGTTTTTTACGAGATAAAAAAACAAATTAATTATATTATCACTGTGCTCCTAAAGAATAACAGTTGATGAATGAAGCAGGTGCTGCCATCACRGATCTTAGAACCAGAGTTTCTGCTAAAGTGACTTAGTGTTGCACCTGAGGAATTCAGGGTCTGCTCACTCCCGAGGCCGATRAAGAGTGGAGAGCCCGAGTGCTGGCAGTAGTAGAGGTTGGCAGGTGGTCCTTTATGTCCCTGTCCATGAAGACCTCAAACAGGGTTTGGAGAGACAGCCTGAAGGGCAGCCCTAACAGAGTCCAACCTGTCTCAGGAACAAGCTCAACTTTGTTATTTGTGTATATGAGGAGCAGATACAGGGGCGGACTGGCTATTGGGAGTACCGGGACTTTTCCCAGTGGGCTGGTGCATCACTGGGCTGGCGAAAGAAGCGAGGGAATRAACGTTGTGTAGTTGCGCTCAATACCAGTAGATGGCGATAATGCACCAACGCATTGTTTACCAACCACCAAGAAAGACCGAAGAAGAAGAAAGGTTTGCTGAAGAAAGAGTAACTGCAGCCAGTGAGGAAGAAGAAGTAAGAAGAAGAAAACAAATTCAGCCAAATGTCAGAAACTGACATTTATTTTCTGCTGGTGCATCATCCTCTTCCTCACTGGAACCTACATCTGGAGAACGTTGGTTATGTATTTTAACCCCATTCTATGAGTGTAAGCGCAGCCCCGGCTGTATTTTTTTCTAGTTTACTAACTTTAATTATAATGCATTTAGCTGTTATATAAATAAAGCCATTATCATGTGTGGACTAGGTTCAAACTGTGCTCAGTAGCCGATAATTTTATAAAACTGTGTTGCTTAAAATGTTTTGACATCAGTTTTAGAAATTTACATCATACATTGGCATTCTAAAAGATAAAAATCATAAATGTTTGTGGGTTTCACAAATAACTTTGCGCACTTTGATTTTTTTATTTTACTTTATTTTATTTATWTGTATTTTATTTATTGGTTGATTGATTGAACTGTCTAATATACAATAACAGTATATTCAAATGAAAAAAATAGTTTAAGTTTACACAGTTCATGTGCTGGAAAACGAAAATGATACCACATTAGATTATGTTTTTTTTTATTTTTTGGGGGGTGGGGGGTAAAATCAAAATGAGTCAAAAATGAGCCTATGGAACTCTGAGGGTCAATGCCTACTATCTTAATAATGTTATTAATTCCTGAACATTACATCCTTAGATTTTGTACAGTGCCCTGAGATGTTTGTTGTTTTCGCCTCTATCATCTGCCTCCACCATCGGCCTCCAGCATTTGCAGRCATCATCTGCCAGCCTTGACCTTGAATGGGCCAGTCAGGGCCCCTTTTTTGCCCCAGTCCGCCCCTGAGCAGATAACCCTTAAAACTGACTCATGCACCTAGATTCCCACGCAGAATTTCTCAGGAAACACTGTCAGAAACCTTTTTTTCTAAATCCACAGAACACGTGTAGGCTGGAGGTCAACCTCTGATGACCCTGTAAGCAGCTCTGCAGGGGTAAAGATCTGGTGCACTGTTCCTCCATCGAAGATTTTTGACATTTTGGTATATTAAAAGTGCAGTTAATGTTTTTTTTCATCATTATCTATAATAAATGAGAGATCACTGGACACCAAACTGTGATGGTCTCAAATCTGACCATCATAATAACACAAAATGTGTTATTCCGTATGCAGGAAGCCTCCATTGTATTATGTTTTTCCTCCCTCAGTATAGCTCCAGCTTGTTGGATCTTGGGTTCTGACGCTAAATTAGCTGGATGGAGCCTACAAGAAGTGCTGGAACTCAAACTGTTTGGAGCATTTTGTCTGCAGACACCAGCAACACAAATGGCCAGATTCACAGCAGGACTTTCTTTTGGGCAGTTTATTATGTCCAGTTTTAATTAGAATGGTAATTACTATATTTCCTCATTGTGTGATAGAGCATAAACATTAAGTTTCAGCAAAACATTTTTCCTGCAAAAAATAAAATAAAATAAAGACAGAAAATATGTGTTTGCAAATGGTTTCTTTGCTCCGGAGGGACGTGACTGGACTGCACAGAGCCCCCGCCTCCTCCCCACATTTCCAACACTAATATGAATGTAAAAAGGGACACTCTATGCCTGACCCCACCTCACTACTGCTCCTGTGGCAAACAGAAGCAAATCCTTTCAGCCAAGTTATAAAAGCARCAAATGAAACCCTGCAATCATGGAGCGACGACTGCCACCCTTTCACCACGAAGCTCCCCACTTCCAAACGTTCACATTAAATGCAGATAAAAACATGTTTACTTTGGAAACGTTTGTATTGCACTTTACATTCAAGCGACAATAAAGTGGCCGAAGCATGACAGGAAGTGCAGACGTTATCATTTCAGTTAGAGAATCTTTAAACCACATCAACAATGCTGAAATGCTCCGAAGTCAGAAACATCTACACTTRTGCAATTTAATACATTTTAGTTTTAAACCCCTTCATTTCCTGAAATACGAGTTTTTTTCTTAACATTTTAATAGTTTTATTTATTTATTTATTTTTGTCTCTGGGAGAACTTCAGCAGTTTGTWATCCCTGATGAGGCACTCTGTTTTTGGACCAGGGGCGGTTCTAGAGGTGGGGCCACAAGGGTACTGGCCCTATATGAAATCTGATTGGCCCCCTGAAGTGCCCCTGTCCTTTCACTCCTCTGTCATTGCCCAAGAACATTGAGGGTGACTGCAGTTCCACTTCCAACCACTAGTGGCACCACTGAGTTAAATAGGAAAGTCCAGCATTAATCAAGCTTACAGGTCTTTTTCAATTTGAACAATTCTGCAGAAAAAAAAAAGTTTTTTACAATGATGGCCAGATTTTCTCATGCGTGTTTGAGTGTATTTTATTTATGTACAGTAAAAAAAATCATGTAAAATTGATGAGAATTTACTGTGGAAGCTTTAGTGTTTGAACATGTGCGACTGATTAAATGTATAAACCTTACAAAAACTGGGGATTTTTGTGCAAGGATTTTAAACAAATACTTGGCCCCTTTTTGAATATTGTGGCCCCTTAAACTGAAAAATCCTAGATCCGCCACTGTATTGGACAGCTTTGCAGAAGGAATATCAAAGTATTTTTTGAAGCGCAACAGTTTTGTTTGTTTGACTATTTATTTCTGAAACCATGCTTAGAGGGTTATAGAAAAAAGCATCAAATACTAAAAGAAATAGGTTGTTTGGCGTCAGCACAAAGCAACTGTCGCATCCAATACGTTCAAAGAACAAACAGTTCTTTCACCACCCTAACCTGACGACCATAAATATAATTCCACTTTAAATAAAATATGTTTTCTTGCATCAGTCTAAAATTAAAAAGGCAAATGTATAGTAATGACATGCTTTTATTTTTGTCACAAATTTTACAAGACAAAGGAAAACTGAGCAGCAAGAAAAGACTGATAATAGGCTGAATGCAACAATAAAACAAATGCAAAAATTCATTTATAATTATAACCTAGCTTGTCAAACAAACATTGTTTTTGTATTTCAACTAAAGTAAAGGAAAGTTCAGTGCATTACAATAAAAAAGTGTAAATTATGTGTTTGAAATTATTTCTGACCCATCATATCAAAATGAGGATTAAGTCAAATTTGGTTAAAATGACCTAATTACATTTTCAGATTCCTGCTTTAAAAGCTACATTTTGATACCTGGAACATTTTGATATCGTAAGTAAATCCATATATATGACTTAATTTGTCTTGTTGGTTACAATACAAAAAATATTTGGTCTGAATCCTAATTTTATGTCATTTTAATAGGACATTTTGATGTCCTTATAAAGAGTAAACCTCAAATCATATTTGATTATTGAGATTTCCCAGATAAAGAAACAAAACTTTGCTAGCTCATAGGGAAACTTTTAAAATTTTAAGGTGTTTTTCCACAAAATCAGGATTTTTGTTGATACTGCTAAAAAGAGTGCTTCAAAATTTTGTTTCATGATTATATTTCAGACAGTTCATTGAAATGATACATTGATAAGGCATTTATTCATTATATTTTGACAAAATGCAACTTTTTGTTAACATTTTAGTCAAAACACTGCCTATTTCTCCATATACCAATTTTGAACTTAATCCTCATTTCGATGTGATGGGTCACAGATTAGTGTCTAAAATATCATAAACCCCAATAAAGTCATTCTGACACTAAAAAGGAAAAAAAAGCAGGACTTGGTGACCATGTAGAAACTGAATGAGTAAAAAGAGAAAAACAAAGATGAGCTTCACTTGTCTGATTTGTGATAAATGTTGACATSAGCTGAGGAGCTGTTGAGGGAATCTCTGCTGTTATTGAGAGCCAGGTCACCGCTGCCGCTCACATCRAGCCCCGTCGAGTCTTTTTCACTTTTATATCTGAGACCAAATAAATCGCAGATTTTTGTCAGCAGGAGGTCGACAATTTCTTCCTCTTCTGAGGGCTGGGAGAAAAAAAAAAGAGATTAAATATCACCGTCAGATACACAGGAAATTATGATATAATGACACAACGATGCTCAAATTATCTAAAGAGCTCTTTTTACTATTAACTTCAATTTATTGGATTCCCTTTTAAACAATGTGAGAAATATTAACACTGAAAACTGTGAAGCGATTATCAAAATGTACTTTAAAAAGATATTTTGGATTTTATCTTCAGCTTTTGATACTTTWAAAAAAGGGTCCTGCTGGAAATAAAGTCCTGTTTGAATCCTGTTTTAGAATGACACTCTTTGATTGCAAATAATTCACAAGAACCTTTGACAAAAACTTTTATCTCTGCTCTGAGGAGAAAAAAAGACAGATTGTCTGATTGACTAAATTATTGCTCAACACTGATCATTTGAATTCATGATAAAATGTGGCTGAAAAGCCCTGCTTCCCTGGAGGCGTTCCTGGTGTCACCCCTGAGCAAATGGCTCTGATCCTGCTTATTGTCATTCTGCTTTGCTGCCACAGTGAGGTCTGAAACACAATGTACTCTCAGTGGGAGACAGGTGGTGTTTTTAAAGCAGCAGGAGGTAAACTTCACCACAAAATGCCACAATTATAAAATCATACATCCATGGATCCATACATTCATATATCCACTACGCTTGCTCTGCCTCTTATTTGTAATTGGTTCTTGGATGCAACATTCAATTCCAAGGCATTCACAGAGCAGATAAAAAAGCTGATTTTTCTAATGTGTTTTGAGTTCTCTCCTCTCCTCTCAGAGGGATGCATTCAGAAAATCTCCAGTGAGAAGCATTGCACTGCAGGGTCCAAATCAGCACGTTCACTGCAAAAAATGTCCATCTAACCAAATTTTAAATTCATTTCCGGCCAATATATATA